TGGTGAATTCGGTGCTAGTGTAGATATTTGTTTAGGTGAAAAATATTTGAACGAAATTAATTGTTATGAGATTGATCAAGAGTATATATATTATTTATATAATCTTTATTACAAAGAATTTAGTGATTTTTTTAATTTAACAAGATGGAAAAAGAAAATCAATATTGATTTAATTGATTATTATTTTGATATCGCTATATCTGGTAATATAAAAGTAAACAATATTCCTATTGATGGATATTATAAACAGCAATTTTATGAAAAATATTTATAAATGTACAAGATAAAAATTTAAATAAAATTATTATTACGAATTTTTTTTATAAAAATATTATTATAAATAAATATAAATATAGATTTGATGTAAATATATATAACAAATATTTATTTTGAAAAAAAAAATATTTTATATATAATATGAAAATCTCTTAAAAAAATTTTTCATTTAAAAAAATTAATAATTTTTTTTTTAAAATGGGTGGTAATTGTGTTAGTTGCATGATCGAAATACATAATAAAACAGATTTGTATTTATTGAGACCACGTAAAAATCATTTTGAATGGGGAAGATTGGAATACGAAACTGAAGAAACTGATATAGTACATTCAAATACAATATCAATCAAAGGTGTTCAAGGTAGAGATAATAGTACATCTGGTGCACAAGGAAGTTTTACTTTTGATGTTGTACACCAAAACGATAATATCGAAATAGGTCAGATTAAATTAATGTTTGATGTTCCATATGATACAAACCTATATTCAAGATCTACAGGTAATAAAAACATATTATCAATACTTCATTGATGGTAAATCAAAATTACTAATTCCTTTAATTTAAATATATGATATTATCGACATATTTGGACATGGTGAGTAATGATTTATTATTTATTTTAAAGTAAAATAAAGTTTGATTTTTTTTCTTTTTTTTTATTATAGGAGATTTCAAAATAAATAATTACACTGATGATGTTACTATTAAAATTGATACTGTTGAATTAT